ATAAAGCAGTTGATTAATAACGAAGCAATGACGTCACAAACTGATAACCAAATTGCAATTTGTGTAGTGATTTTCTAAGTTCCAAAGTGTTTCATACTTTTACAATTTTGTTATAACTTCCTGATAGTTATCCGATTTTACTCAATGTGTTTGGGCTCTGTCACTCTTGTTTTTCTGCATCTATATTAAAAGCAAATTATTTTTAGAGTAGACTTAATACACCAGTTTACGGTTGTGTGCGCCATTTTAAACAAAGCCAATGACGTCCTAGAGGTCATGGATTTATGCGTAAATTAAGATTGCGCACATGCAAATTATGATGACATCACTGCCTGCGCGCTGCGTTGTGCGCGCACATCACATGTGCATGGGCGCAATCTTAAGTTACGCATAAATACCACTGATACCTCAGGTCATACACCAGTTTACAGTTGTGTGCGCCATTTTAAATAAAGCCAATGACCTAGAGGATGATGCGTAAATTAAGATTGCGCCCATGCAAATTATGATGATATCACTGCCTGCGCGCTGCGCGCGCATATCATCATTTGCATGGGCGCAATCTTAATTTACGCAATACCAGAGGTCAGAGGTTATTGGCCCCGGAACAGGGCCAATTTGGCCCTAGCTGTTCCGGGGCCAATGACCCGAGGTCAACTGTCTGCTCATGCGCACTGATACAACTGTAAACTGGTGTATTGGCTTTGTTTCAAAGCCAATGACCCGAGGTCAGCCTGTCTGCGCATGCGCACTGATGTAACCGTAAACTGGTGTATTAAATTTAACCGTATTTGGGACTAACCCTCATGAAATAACTATAGATAGCGGTTACGTATATTTGGTGTTTCACGCTATCGACGTTTATTCCATCTTTTTTTGGAATTACCTTAGGCCAAATAAAATAAAAAAATGTTTAGCGTCCTGTTTTTTTTGAAAAATAGGAAGGAGGAGGCCCTTTTTTTTCTTCAATGGCCGCTCGGTAAATTTTCCCTTTCAGTCGGGCTATTTTTCAAGATGGCCGCCAACATTTTTTTTTTTTTTTTTTTTAAATTTTATCAGAAATAGATCCATTTTAGCAGTGTTTTTCATGTTTTTATTTAATTAAACAAAATATTAAACAAATTCAAAAAAAAAAAAAAAAATATATGAGGCGGGCCCCAAAAAGGAAGCAGGCGGGGACGCTAAACATGTATATATTTTTTAAATGGCCTTAATTTCTCTCGCGGCACCCAATAGATCTACGGCACCCTAGTTGAACAACACTGGATAAGAGGATTTGCGATTAATTTCGATCACTCGCAACTCTTCTACTCTATAGCAAACACGATCGCAGTTATAATTAGGACTTTCAAAAAATAATGCCAGATGCAAATCGAATACCTGATTAAACCTGACGTCACATTTGGGAAAGTGCAAACATTATAATATATAGAACATTCGACCTAGGCATGCAGTTGATTTCTTCAAAGTCATTGCGGTCATGTTTTTATAAGACTTACAAACAGGCGCGGATCCAGAATTTTTTAGACGGGGGGGGGGGGGGGGCCAAATTTGAAATTTTGCGAGCCAAATATTGGTACGTAATGGTGACCAACACTGACGTAATGCGGGGGGGGGGGGGGTGCAGGGAGGGGCGAGTTTCCCCCTACCTCCTCCGCGAAACGCGAAGCTTTTACGAATTATTAAACCATTAGAAAAACCAGACGATTCGTTGTACAGTTTTCGACTCTTAATCCTCTGAATTCAGGTTCCCTCTTCCCGCGAAGCGCGGAAACTTTTACGTTTCATTCAATCATTAGAGAAAGAAGACGAATCGTTGTACCGTTTTCGACTCTTAATCCTCGTCTGAATTCAGGTTCCCCCTCCCGCGCGAAGCGCGGAAACTTTTAAGTTTCATTTAATCATTAGAGAAAGAAGACGATTCGTTGTACCGTTTTCGACTTTTATTCCTTGTCTGAATTCAGTCCCCCCCCCCTCTCCCGCGCGAAGCTCGGAAGCTTTTACATTTCATTAAATCATTAGAGAAAGAAGACGATTCGTTGTACCGTTTTCGACTTTTATTCCTCGTCTGAATTTAGTTTACCCCCCCCCCCCTCCCGCGCGAAGCTCGAAAGCTTTTACATTTCATTAAATCATTATAGAAACAAGACGATTCGTTGTACAGTTCTCGACTCTTATAATCATCGTCTGCATGAATGCAGCTTTTACGCTTCATTAAATCATTAAAGAAACAAGACGATTCGTTGTACCTTTCTCGAAAACAATCCTCCTTTGAATTCAGGTTCCCCCCTCCTGCATGAATGCAGCTTTTACGCTTCATTAATTCATCAGAGAAACAAGACGATTCGTTGTACAGTTCTCGACTCTGAATGTTCGTCTGAATTCAGGTTCCCCCCTTCCGCGCGAAGCGCGGAATCTCTTACGTTTTATTAAATCATTAAGGAAAGAAGACGATTCGTTGTACAGTTCTCGACTCTTAATCCTCGTCTGAATTCAGGTTCCCCCTCCCGCGCGAAGCGCGGAAGCTTTTAAGTTTCATTAAATCATTAGAAAGAGAAGACGATTCGTTGAACCGTTTTCGACTTTTATTCCTTGTCTGAATTCAGTTCCCCCCCCCTCCCGCGGGAAGCTCGGAAGCTTTTACGTTTCATTATATCATTAGAGAAACAAGACGATTCGTTGTACAGTTCTCGACTCTTAATCCTCGTCTGAATTCTGTTTTCCCCTCACGCGCGAAGCACGGAAGCTTTTACGATTCATTAAATCATTAGAGAAAGAAGACGATTCGTTGTACCGTTTTCTTAATCGACTCTTAATCCTTGTCTGGGGGAAATTTTGTGTGTAAATCCCCCCAAACACCCCCTAAAACCCCCCCCCCCCCTCGTTTCGGGTTTTTTTTTTTTTTTTTTTTTTTTTTTTAAAAAAAAAAAAAAAAAAAAAAAAAAAATTCGCATGACCGACCTAAAAAAGGTGACCTAACCCCCCCAACGGAGCAAAATGTCAAGTGTCCTCTTACCCCCCCCCACTCCCCCCCCCACTGAGCGACTTTTCGGCTGGCTGAGTCGTTGGGATTTTTTTTTGGACTCCCCCCCCCCAAAAAAAAAGTGTCCGCTTACCCCCCCCCCCCCCCCCCCCCCCCCCCCACTGAGCGAATTTTGGCCGATTTTCAAATTTTCCTGAGTCGTTGCGAAATTTTGGACCGATTTATAAATGTTAAACCCCCCCCCCCTTGAAAAAATCCTGCGTACGCGCCTGCTCCCCCCTCCTACTCGAAGCTCAGAAACTTTGACGTTTCATTAAGTTATTAGAGAAAGAAGACGATTCGTTGAACCGTTGTCGACTCTCAATACTCGTCTGTATTCAGTTTCCCCCCTTCCCGCGCGAGGCGCGGAATCTTTTACGTTTCATTAAATCATTAGAGAAACAAGACGATTCGTTGTACAGTTCTTAATCCTCGTCTGAATTCAGGTCCCCCCCCCCCCTCCCGCGCGAAGCGCGGAAGCTTTTAAGTTTCATTAAATCATTAGAGAAAGAAGACGATTTGTTGTACTGTTCCAGAAAATAACCCTCGTCTGAATTTAGTTTCCTTCCCTCCTCCCGCGCGAAGCTCGGAAGCTTTTACGTTTCATTAAATCATTAGAGAAAGAAGACGATTCGTATTACCGTTCTCGACTCTTAATCCTCGACTGAATTCAGGTTTTGACGTTTCATAAGATTATGAGAAAAAGAAGACGATTCGCTGTACTGTTCTCGACTCTTAATCCTTGTCTGAATTCAGTCTCTCCCCCCCCTCCCCTCCTGCGTGTAGCGCGGAAGCTTGAAGTTTTTAAATTATTAGAGAAAGAAGACGATGCGTTGTGCCGTTCTCTACTCTTATGCATTGTCTGAATTTCAAAGATGTTCTTTGTCTGCTCCTTTTCCTTTCTACGTCCTCTTCCTTTTCTCTCGTTTTTTTTTTTTTTTTTTTTTTTTTTTTGGCCGGCGATTTTTTTGTAGGGGGGGGGGGGGGGGGGACCGCGGTCAGATAAACACATTTTGATACCTTGTCGGACCCCGGAAGCTCAGGGGTTTAAGGCAATAAATTACGGTCAGGTAAGCATTCAGGGGCTCGCCTTAGGGCCCCTGGTGGGATCGAAGCGGTGGAGCCCCCGGAAGCTCAGGGGTTTTAGGCGTTTAATTGCGGTCAGATGAGCATTTTTTGATGCCTCATTATTTTTTGACACTGGCAGTTATTCTTTCTTGCTCTCTTTCTTTTGTATTTTTCTTATACCTTTTCAAAAAAAGTGTGGGGGGGGGGGGGGGGGCTCGAGGCTCCCGATCCCCGCTGTTCCTCGGGCCCTGACATGTAGGAATCTCAAGAATCATATTTCATTTTCCAACAAACACATACAAAAGTATAATTTACTAAAAAGTGAGGAAAAATCTCGAAGATTATGTCAATTCAGCATTATTTGTAATCCACCGTTATGGAATTAGAAATAAACCACGTTTGAATTTGATTTCCCCTAAGCCCCCTCCCCCTATCAGTACGCCACTATATCCTCTTTTCCTTTTTTCTTTCCATTTCCTTCCTTCTCTCTTATTTTTTTGATTGGGGGGGGGGGGGGGGGACAATTACGGCCTGGGAGGCAAGGCCCTTTCGCCCCCCCCCCCCGGATCTCCTTCTTCCCCTTTTTCTTTTCTTCTTCCTCTCTAGTTTTCTTTCCCTTTCTCTCCTCTTTCTCTTTCCCTTCTTTTCCTTTTTTCTCTCTTTTTTTTTGCGGGGGCCGGGGGGGGGGGGGGGGGGGCAAGGCCCGCTCGACCCCCCCTTGGATCCGCGCCTGCTTACAAAAACAAAACAATAACAACATCGAACATTGCAACTACCTATTTCCATCGCTTACGTCATCATCCTCACTACACATGGTCATGGTCAATGTTTTCCTTTTGCTCTTTGGACCACGCCCCCTCTACTACGTAGTACGAGCGACGCGATGACTTCATTGCAGCTATAGCTAGCTAGCTAGCTAGCTTAGCTTAGCGCGCTAGATAGCAGTTACCCTTGCAGCGTATGGCATATGATGATGGACCTACGTTTAATATTGTTTATTGGAAGCCTTTTCCTCCTTTTATCTCCTGACCTATTTCAGACAATTCTTGCCCAAGAACAATACGGTACGTAACAGACATTATTTAATGTGATTTTTGCTAGTTTATAAGGAGAATTTGGAAAATTGTACGGGCGCGCGCGGTCAATAATTACCGTGTTTACACAGTGATCCGCATCGAGGGTTGAAGCCCGGTTGAAGCGCGAGGGGGTTGAAGCCGGGTTGAAGCCACACATATATATAGGAGCATCACTATCCTGGCTGTGTAGTAAAAGCTGTGCTTTTGATTCTCAACATTTCAAACACCACTGTACAAAACTCAACTGATTTCATTCAAAATCGGTACTTTAGTGACAATTGATGACACCTAAATAGCAGTAAAATACATTTTTTGTAACTTACTAATGTTAAAAAGAATAATTTAAAAACTCAAATTGTAAGTCTTTAGAGATATGAGTGCGAGGTAATGTGAATGGATATTTGAAAGCGTGTTCACTCGTCACACAACATAACTCTTATTTTTATTTAGCTACGAGGAAACAAGGTTGCACTGACAATAAAATACATAAAAGAAAGTATTCCCTTTTCGTTAATTTATTGGGTACTGAACAAAGCTGACAATGCACTTGCAAAGTGCAGTCAAGCAAATATAGCAGACTTGAAAATGTGAATATTGCACGAAGATTACATAATGATTAAGGATGAGAATGAACATGAATAAATGCGATGTACATAATGAATGAAAGCTTACGACAGAATAGAAATGGCGTCGAAAGTCCAATGAAGATGAAGAGAGATGAAAACGAAGGAAGGGGCTCACGCGATGATGTGCGGAGGCTTGAAGGCGGAGATGCAGCTTCGTATTCGTGGCTGAAGAGCGGTGAAGCATCTCGACGCTGACGTCCGTGATGAAGATAGTGAAGAAGCTCTCAGGCGAGAAGAGAAGAAAGTGACGCTCGACGATGAAACAGTGAGTCGTTTGATGTCGGAGGCCAAGGTAGAAAATGCAGACATCAAAGCCGGCATTGGTGCTGAGCAGTGAGTCGCTCGATTGATGAGCCGAACTTTGATGATGAATGTTTAGATGAGCTGCGGTGAGTCGAGCTCATGTGAGTGAAAGACTACCGGTGAAGAAACTGGCAGCTCCCAGCGGAGAATCAAACGCCATGTCGGATATTGATTTAACTGTTCCACTGGAAGACTGCAGCCCGATGAACACAGCAGAGAAAGAGTTGACGTGCCGTAGAAAAGACGAAAGGCACAGAAGAATACAGCCTGGAGAGGAAATTGCGGAGACGTCTTGACTCGACCAAGGTGAAGGCGGGAGTGGAGAAAAACCTCGTGGCGTTGAAAATACGCGGGGTGAACAGTGCGGAACCACGATGCGCGATTGGAAAGAAATACACACGTGGCCCGAATAATGAATATAAATAAGTAGCGTGATGGAAAAATACTGGAGACTTGAATGTACGGTGAAAGTAGGGCGAATGTAAGTAGGGCGAATGTAAGAGCCGCTACAAGTCTAGTGTCAAACTTTGCTTACAGCTGCATCGACATGATTGTGTAGAGTCTATGCGATATTGTGTGGTGTGTATATTTGTGTATGGGTCCAAAAATACCTGCCTCACAGCAAGCATGCAGTGCTAAAGGTCAATACGCATTAGCATTGACTCTCTATGCTTTGCTGGAGTGGGTTGAAGCCTGCAGTTTTATGTGTGATTAAACGGGATCCCAGTGCGGATTGAAGCCGGGTTGAAGCCGCCTTTTGAATCCACCCTATATCGATATGCAGGGTTTTATGCTATCCTTTTTTTTCCTCTTCATTCTCCTCAACCTTTTACCTATAGAATGCCAGATAAAGTTTTTTTTAATTGATTTTATCCGTTTATATGGTCATATGTCCAATTATTTCAAGCCAGGGGGCTAAATTCTCAGAAATCCCACTGGAACTTGCCTCGTAGAATCAACACACGTTTCTATGGAATGTCCACGAACTTTGACTTATGACTGTTTCAGGAAACTGGACCCAGTTTAATCCTCTAGAAATCAAGAGAACTTGAATTTTCTTTCACAGCAATTCCTTTTGTTTTTCATTCTGTAGATGTGAGGCTGGTGGGAGGATCAACTGCTGCTGAAGGTCGAGTGGAGATCTACTACCGGTCATCGTGGGGTACAGTATGCGATGGTACATATACATGGGCCAGAGAGGAGTCACAGGTGGTGTGTCAGCAGCTGGGTTACTCTGGAAATGCAGAAACTCACGCCAAGGCTGCCTTTGGTCAAGGAACCGGAACAATCTGGTTAGACGACGTGAATTGTATTGGGGGCGAGACGTCGTTGTCATCGTGTACCCACCGCAACTGGGGAACCAACAACTGCAGTCATGCTGAAGATGTAGGGGTCAGATGTCAGACAAGTGATGGTAAGATTGCTTTAAAATCTAAAATCCTTAAACTGGATCCGAATTCCAAGTTTAGCAAATAATAATAATAATAGTGATGAACATTTTAAATGTGCCATGTCTGTCAAAAATGACACTCCTGGCGCAGTTGTGTGGAAGTTGTATAAGTGTGGGCAAGTAATTCAAGAAAGAAAGTAAAACACATATAAGTTACAATACAATACAATACAAACTTACAAAGCATATTACAGTAATACAAGTTATATAAGGGTACAATGTAAGACATAATTAAACAAACTAATATGTTGAGAACAGAAACGTTTTTTAACACAGACTTGAACTGTGAGTAGGAGTTCTCATTGCGGAGGTGAGGAGGGAGTGAGTTCCACAGTTCAGGGCCAGAACTTGAAAATGATCGCCTTCCCCAGGAGTGCCGTGAACGTGGGATGCAAAGAAGTTGAAAAACCTGTATAGAAAGTCTGCCAAGGGGAGAATAAAAGTAGTTGTTATCTGGGCGAGTGGTCTTTGTAGACAGGTTTACTTTAACATGTGTCACAATGAGAAACATCATGCAGTGAAGGAATACAAGAAAAATGTCTTTATAAACAGGTGGTCTTTCTTTACAGGTGATGGCTAAAGCAGGTTAGACTATACCCTTGTGTACCGGGGTAATAATAGGATTGCAGGCCCCTCAGAAAGAAAAGTATAAATACTGATGAGGCTACCCTGGGTAAACTAGACACATTATCGTTATTATCATTGTTATTCTTACAGCAAAACCTGCGCATAAAGACCAGTCAGGGAAGACTAGAAATGCAGCATGCATAAGCATTTAATTGTTGGCTATCACTCTTATTAATCTTTCCCTCGCCTGGCTCACCTGGCTTACTGCTCCACTTGGGTCTCCTCCATACCTGCCACCTACTAATAAAATACCGTATCCGGACACCTACCCCCTGGACAACCTTCCCCGGATAACCACCCCCAGGAAAACCACCCTCTAGGATAACCACCCCCAGGATAACCACCCTCCGGATAACCACCCCCAGGATAACCACCCTCTGGGACAACCACCCCTCCGGATTACCACCCCTAGAAATAACCTAGAGGGTGGTTGTCCGAGAGGGTGGTTATCCTAGGGGTGGTTATCCGGAGGGGTGGTTATCCTAGACGGTGGTTATCCTGGGGGTGGTTATCCTAAAGGGTGGTTATCCTGGGGATGGTTGTCCTAGACGGTGGTTATTCTGGGGTTGGTTATCCTAGAGGGTGGTTACGGGTGGTTTTTCTGGGGTTAGTTATCCTAAAAGGTGGTCGGGGTTGGTTATCCTAGAGGGTGGTTATTCTGGGGGTGGTTATTCTGGGGTTGGTTATCCTAGAGGGTGGTTAATCTGGGGGTGGTTAATCTGGGGTTGGTTATTCTGGGGGTGGTTATCCTAGAGGGTGGTTATCTGGAGGGGTGGTTGTCCTAGAGGGAGGTTATCCGGAGGGGTGGTTGTCCTAGAGGGTGGTTATCTGGAGGGGTGATTATCCTAGACGGTGGTTATCCTAGGGGTGGTTATCCGGAGGGGTGGTTATCCGGAGGGGTGGTTATCCTAGAGGGTGGTTATCCTAGGGGTGGTTATCCTAGAGGGTGGTTATCCTAGGGGTGGTTATCCGGAGGGGTGGTTATCCTAGAGGGTATTTATCCTAGGGGTGGTTATCCTAGAGGGTGGTTATCCGGAGGGGTGGTTATCCTAGAGGGTGGTTATCCTAGAGGGTGGTTATCCGGAGGGGTGGTTATCCTAGAGGGTGGTTATCCGGAGGGGTGGTTATCCTAGAGGGAGGTTATCTGGAGGGGTGGTTATCCTAGAGGATGGTTATCCTAGACGGTGGTTATCCTGGGGGTGGTTATCCTAGAGGGTGGTTATCCTAGGGGTGGTTATCCGGAGGGGTGGTTGTCCTAGACGGTGGTTATCCTGGGGGTGGTTATCCTAGAGGGTGGTTATCCGGAGGGTGGTTGTCTATATAGGGGGAAGGTGTTCTAGAACCATAAAATACATGTAGTTTTATATGCCCTTTTTACAGAAATGCTACCAGATAGCATCAGATGTGAACAGGTTTCAACAAATGATCCTCTATTTTGCTTTCTGCTGTAGTATTTGCTGCAGCCCTTTTTGCCCGGCTGGGACATTCATTGTGGAAATACTGTCTTTTACTGATACCTGAGGGGTACATGCATGAATAGCATTTACATTAAATACAATAATCCAGAAAGCTGGGAGGTCTAAATGGTTACATACTTACATTCCATTCTTGGGGTTGAAGAGACAATAATACATGAAAGACAGTCTAACGATTCACAATATATATACAAAACATGTTCTACATTCAAAGGAGAGGACCTTTTTGTTAAAAGCACATCATTTTTCATGGAAACTACTTGGAATTTGAATCTGAATCATCAAGCTGTTCACAATGTTGGGTCTCTCTCTGCTTATATTATTGAGTTTATTAATCTTTTTGTGGACTTCATCCACTCATTAAAGAATACCTAGAAATATTATTCCTTATTTTTTCTTCTTCTCTCTAATGACAGCCAAGGGTAGTCGTTAAATAAGAATACAACACAAAAGAAGATTTCTCTCTTTACTCTCAATCCCATTTCAAAACCGAACAGTCCTCTTTAGGAGCCCCCATATGGGTGAAACCATGGACCTAATGAAATGAGACTTTGAATTTGTTTTCCAGTTACCGATGGATCGCTGAGACTCGCTGGAGGAGCAAGGACGAATGAGGGACGGGTCGAGATTTACCACAATGGCCAATGGGGCACTGTATGCGACGACAACTGGGATACTACTGATGCCAACATAGCCTGTCGGCAGCTAGGCTATAAGGGAGTCGATGTATTAATCAACGGGGGTTCCGGGTTGGGGCCAATCTGGTTGGATGAAGTGACTTGTTTAGGCTCGGAGTTTAGGCTTTCTTCATGCCCCCATAGTGGTTGGGGAGTCAATAACTGTAGTCATTCCGAAGATGCAGGAATGCGATGCTCATCCTTAATTTGTAAGATATTTGTAAACTTAATCCTATAATTGTTATGCCTCCGCTACAAAGTAGCCGGAGGCATTATGTTTTTTCGGGTTGTCTGTCTGTCCGTCCGTACGTCCCGTTCTTGTGATCGCGTTATCTCAAGAACCAATTGATGGATTCCCGCCAAACTTGGGTCATGTATGTATCTTGCAGAGCCAATGTACTGATAAGGTTTTGGGGTCGCGAGATCCAAGGTCAAAGGTCACAGCACTCGTTATGTATGCAAAAATAGCTTGATCACTTTATCTCAAGAACCCATTGATGGATTCCCGCTAAATTTGGGTCACGTATGTATCTTGCAGAGCCAATGAACTGATTAGATTTTGGGGTAACGAGGTCAAATGTCAAAGTTCAAAGGGCTCATTATGTATGCAACAATAGCTCGCTTCTGTTTTGGTTTGTAAAATTAATTGCTTTATGGCGGAGGCATTATTTTCGACTGCGAGCGGTCGAAGGTCCATCTAGTTTATATACCGGTAGGCACTTGTATAGTGAAGAAAATGAGGCATGTTTTTATACTTTTAGGTCTATATCTGATCCAAGGGGAATTGTTACAGTTTAACCCAAAGGGGTCCGTTTATTTTGGTACTCTCTTAGCCGAGGGGAGTGTCCCATTGCAATATCGACCACACCTTGGCATATTGATTAGAGTATCTCATGAATATTAATGAAGTTTCATGTCTATGTCTTGAATGGCTTTTGAATGATTACTAATTACCTAGTCACATATCTGCATTGTGTACAATATATATGGGGTAATATCTTTTTAGGCCCTTTGCAGTACCATTTGTACCCTTTTGAAGAATTGGTATCAAAAGATACATGTAGAAGTTGCGCGATTTCTGCCCTGGTCCTTTTATGGTTTAAAAAAACAAACACCCAGAGCCTCCCGGGATTGACACGATTTAGAGAAGCCCTTCGCTAGACCAACTCCCGCCTCCATCAAAACAAGACCTAGGACCCTCATGGGTGGAACCATGGACCTAATGAAATAAGACTTGAATTTGTTTTCCAGTTATCGATGGATCGCTGAGACTGGCTGGAGGAGCGACCACGAATGAGGGACGGGTCGAGATTTACCACAATGGCCAATGGGGCACTGTATGCGACGACAGCTGGTATTATACTGAAGCCGACGTAGCCTGCCGGCAGCTAGGCTTCCCGGGAGTCGACGTATTAATCGACGGGGGTTCCGGGATGGGGCCAATCTGGTTGGCTGGAGTGATTTGTTTAAGCTTCGACTTTAGGCTTTCTTCATGCTACCATAGTGCTTGGGGAGTCAATAACTGTGGTCATTCCGAAGATGCAGGAGTGCGATGCCTAACTGCAGCTGGTAAGATATGTAAACTTGATGTCGAAGTCCATCCTGATATTACCGTAAATCTCTGTGTAGAAGAAACACCTGTGTATAAGATGCACCCCAATTTTTAAGGAAAAAAAATTAAATTATTTTTAGTTTGCTTTTTAGCAGACACCGTAGTATGCTAGAAAACCCAAGCGACTTTCATTTTGATACAAAGTGAAGTTAATGGCGCCGATTTGTGCCTGTGAACTCGTCACAATTAATATTAACAATGTTGTTTTTAAAACTAAAGATGACAGACAAAGGAACAACTGCAGAATGAAGCCCAGACAAATTTTCAATCAGAAATTTGGACAGGCTAGTTTTATGGGGTGTATCACTTAACACCCGAACCATCGGTCCGCCCATTACAAATTTGGTATCAAAATGTGCGGGAGACACAAGGAGAAAAAAAACACTCATGAAATTTCAGCGTCAAAGGTTCAGGTGTTTTGATGCAGCGGCAAAAATTTGACAGCCCCCCCCAGACTTATTAGGGTTAAGGGACATAATTTATTGAGACTGAAAAAAAAAAAAAAAAAATCTCTCCCTTTCAAATTAGGAACGTATAGGTTAACTTCAAATAGAAGATCCTATTATTTATTCCCATTATGGTATTTATGTTGAGATACAGAAATTTTCGAAAACCGCTAAAAATTGGCATTTTGAGGACTCAAAATATCCTGTACCTGTGTATAAGACGCACCCCCGAATTTTGAATTTTTTACTGCGAAAAAAAGTGCATCTTTACAGCAGAAACACAAGTGAAACCAGTAGAAGTTTAGGATAAGGATTTATGAATATTTAAAGTTGTAATTGATCAAAAGCAAAGAACACAATACACAGGAGACTCTTTCTCTCTTTACTCTCTATCCGATTTCAAACCCAGTAGTCCTTCTTTAGGAGTACCAAATGGGTGTGTGTGTGTGTGTACGTTTTATCAAATTTTACAGACGTGTATCAATCAGAAATGATTATATACGTCTGGGGACAGACCCTTAACGTCACCATCCGAAAGACGTGACTCAGTTTCAAACTGGGGTCTGCTGAGCCAGTTTGTAGGTGAAGACAAATAGCTAACAAGTGAATGTACCGCTAGACCAAGGGGTTCTCAAAATTTCTCTTCACGATCCGGGTGTGATTTCCACGAAAGCTAAAAGGTCCGAAGCAATTGGCATATATATATAGTTTATTCATCAATTATTTCCCTTCATATAAGTTTGTTATCCCCTCGCCGACGAAGTCGGATGGGATATAGTAACGCTGCCGCGTCCGTCCTTCCTTCCTTCCTTCCATGCTTCCGTGCATGCGTCCGTCCGTCCGTAACAAATTTGGTTTCCGATAGATAACTTCAGTAACGTTCGACAGATTTTAATGAAATTTGATATGAAGGTACATGATATCAAATTGCAGGCTAAGTTCGATGTTGGAGTACGTAGGTCATAGCTCATTAAATATGCGAAAAATACACATCTGGTTTCCGATCGATAACTTCAGTAACGTTTGACGGATTTTAATGAAATTTGAAATGAAGGTAAATGATATCAAAATACAGTCTAAGTTTGATTTTGGAGTACGTAGTTGAAAGGTCAAAGGTTTTAGCTCATTAAATATGCGAAAAAATACACATCTGGTTTCCGATCGATAACTTCAGGAATCCTCAACCCTCTCTCTCTCTCACATGGTGCACCCGCAAGCCTACTGTATAACTTTAGTAATGTTTGACAGATTTTAATGAAATTTGACATGAAGGTACATGGTATCAAAACACAGCCTAAGTTCAATTTCCGAGTATGTAGGTCAAATGTCATAGCTCATTGAATATGCGAATCTGGTTTCCGATCCATAAGTTTAGTATTGTTTGACGGATTTTAATGAAATTTGATATGAAGGTTCATGGTATCAAAACACAGCCTAACTTCAATTTCGGAGTATGTAGGTCAAAGGTCATAGCTCATTAAATATGCGAATCTGGTTTCCATTCGATAACTTGAATAATGTTTGACAAATTTTAATGAAATTTAATATGAAGGTACATGTAGGCCCTACATGGTATCAAAATACATGTACAGCCTAAGTTCAATTTTTTTAGTATGTAGGTCAAAGGTGAAAGGTCATAGCTCATTAAATATGCAAAAACACCTGATTATATATATGTGAAAAGTGGTTAACTTTCTTGCCCAGTAATATAATAGTATACTCCAATGGAGGTAACTTGTTCTGACGTATATAGGCCATTTGTACCATGCGAGGGGATGCTACACTTTGCGTTGACTTGTTATATTTTATATACGTACTGTCCTTACAGTTTGCACATAGACAGTCAAAGGTGGAAGTTATGGTAAAAATATACTTGTAAATGGGGAAAACTTCAAAAGTGGCACCATTTCGGCATTTCCCGGCAATAGGCTGATTAAGCAAATAAACATTGTCACAAATTGAGTGATTGGAAGATGGAGGAATTGATTTTAATGTTAAAAAATGACAATCTAATCCTATAATTTATAATAATGGCACTTGTATAGTGAAGAAAGCGAGGCTTGTTTTTATACTGTTAGGTCTTTATCTGATCCAAGGGGAATTGTTACAGTTTAACCAAAAGGGGTCTGTTTATTTTGTTACTCTCTTAGCCAAAGGGAGTGCCGCCCCCTTGAAATATCGACCACACCTTGGCATATTGATTGGAGTATCTCATGAATATTAATGAAGTTTCATGTCTATGTGTCAAATGGCTTTTGAATGATTACTAATTAACCAGTCACATATCTGCATTGTATACAGTATATATGGGGTAATATCTATGCTTTTTTTACCCTTCGCAGTTCCATTTGTACCCTTTTGTAGAAATTAAATAAATTTGGTATTGAAAGATAGGCGTCAGGTGATTTCTGCCCTGGTCCTTTTAGGGTATGGTAAAACCCCTCCCCCCCCCCTCTCCCCTCCCCCCCCCCCAAAAAAAACCCATAGCCTCCTGGGTGGTCCGGATTGACACGACCCCTTACGGTCCGGACTTTGAGAAGCCCTTTGCTAGACCAACTCCCGACTCCGCACCCGCATGGGTGGAACTATAAACCTATTGAAATGAGACTTTGAATTTGTTTTCCAGTTAACAATGGATCGCTGAGACTCGCTGGAGGAGCGACCACGAATGAGGGACGGGTCGAGATTTACCACAATGGCCAATGGGGCACTGTATGCGATGACAACTGGGATACTACTGATGCCGCTGTAGCCTGCCGGCAGCTAGGCTACGTGGGAGTCGACGTATTAATCGACGGGGGTTCCGGGTTGGGGCCAATCTGGTTGGATGAAGTGACTTGTTTTGGCTCAGAGGTTATGCTTTCTTCATGCCGCCATAGTGGTTGGGGAACCAATAACTGTGTTCATTCCGAAGATGCAGGAGTGCGATGCTTATCCTCAAGTGGTAAGATATGTAAACTTGATGGGGAAGTCCATCCTGATATTACCGTAAATCTCTGTGTAGAAGACGCACCTGTGTATAAGATGCACCCCTATTTTTAAGGGAAAAAAATAAATTGTTTTTTGTTTGCTTTTTAGCAGACACCATAGTACGTTAGAAAACCCTAGCAACTTTCATTTTGATACGAAGGGAAGTTAATGGCGCCGATTTGTGCCTGTGAACTTGCCACAATTAATATTAACAATGTCGTTTTTAAAACTAAAGATAACGGTCAAAGAACAGCTAGTTTTATGGGGTGTGTCACCTAACACCCAAACCATAGGTCCGCCCATTACAAAAATGGTATCAAAATGTGCCGGAGACACAAGGAGAAAAACTCATGAAATTTCAGCGCCAAACGTTCAGGTGTTTTGATGCAGCGTTGACTTGTTATATTTTATATACGTTCTGTCCTTACAGTTTGCACATAGACAGTCAAAGGTGGAAGTTATGGTAAAAATATACTTGTAAATGGGGAAAACTTCAAAAGTGGCACCATTTCGGCATTTCCCGGCAATAGGCTGATTAAGCAAATAAACATTGTCACAAATTGAGTGATTGGAAGATGGAGGAATTGATTTTAATGTTAAAAAATGACAATCTAATCCTATAATTTATAATAATGGCACTTGTATAGTGAAGAAAGCGAGGCTTGTTTTTATACTGTTAGGTCTTTATCTGATCCAAGGGGAATTGTTACAGTTTAACCAAAAGGGGTCTGTTTATTTTGTTACTCTCTTAGCCAAAGGGAGTGCCGGCCCCCTTGAAATATCGACCACACCTTGGCATATTGATTGGAGTATCTCATGAATATTAATGAAGTTTCATGTCTATGTGTCAAATGGCTTTTGAATGATTACTAATTAACCAGTCACATATCTGCATTGTATACAGTATATATGGGGTAATATCTATGCTTTTTTTACCCTTCGCAGTTCCATTTGTACCCTTTTGTAGAAATTAAATAAATTTGGTATTGAAAGATAGGCGTCAGGTGATTTCTGCCCTGGTCCTTTTAGGGTATGGTAAAACCCCCCCCCCCCCCCCCCCTCCCCTCCCCCCCCCCCCCCCAAAAAAAAACCCATAGCCTCCTGGGTGGTCCGGATTGACACGACCCCTTACGGTCCGGACTTTGAGAAGCCCTTTGCTAGACCAACTCCCGACTCCGCACCCGCATGGGTGGAACTATAAACCTATTGAAATGAGACTTTGAATTTGTTTTCCAGTTAACAATGGATCGCTGAGACTCGCTGGAGGAGCGACCACGAATGAGGGACGGGTCGAGATTTACCACAATGGCCAATGGGGCACTGTATGCGATGACAACTGGGATACTACTGATGCCGCTGTAGCCTGCCGGCAGCTAGGCTACGTGGGAGTCGACGTATTAATCGACGGGGGTTCCGGGTTGGGGCCAATCTGGTTGGATGAAGTGACTTGTTTTGGCTCAGAGGTTATGCTTTCTTCATGCCGCCATAGTGGTTGGGGAACCAATAACTGTGTTCATTCCGAAGATGCAGGAGTGCGATGCTTATCCTCAAGTGGTAAGATATGTAAACTTGATGGGGAAGTCCATCCTGATATTACCGTAAATCTCTGTGTAGAAGACGCACCTGTGTATAAGATGCACCCCTATTTTTAAGGAAAAAAAATAAATTGTTTTTTGTTTGCTTTTTAGCAGACACCATAGTACGTTAGAAAACCCTAGCAACTTTCATTTTGATACGAAGGGAAGTTAATGGCGCCGATTTGTGCCTGTGAACTTGCCACAATTAATATTAACAATGTCGTTTTTAAAACTAAAGATAACGGCCAAAGAACAGCTAGTTTTATGGGGTGTGTCACCTAACACCCAAACCATAGGTCCGCCCATTACAAAAATGGTATCAAAATGTGCCGGAGACACAAGGAGAAAAACTCATGAAATTTCAGCGCCAAACGTTCAGGTGTTTTGATGCAGCGGCAAAAATTTGACAGGCCCCCCCCCCCCCCCCCCCCCCCGGACTTATTAGGGTTAAGGGTCATAATTTATTGAGACTGAAAAAAAAAAAAAAAAAATCTCTCCCTTTCAAATTAGGAACGTATAGGTTAACTTCAAATAGAAGATCCTATTATTTATTCCCATTATGGTATTTATGTTGAGATACAGAAATTTTTGAAAACCGCTAAAAATTGGCATTTTGAGGACTCAAAATATCCTGTACCTGTGTATAAGACGCACCCCCGACTTTTGAATTTTTTCCGGCGAAAAAAAGTGTGTCTTATACACAGAAATTTACGGTAAGTTACTTTTAATTAAAGCAGAAACACAAGTGAAACCAGTAGAAGTTTAGGATAAGGATTTATGAATATTTAAAGTTGTAATTGATCAAAAGCAAAGAACACAATACACAGGAGACTCTTTCTCTCTTTACTCTCTATCCGATTTCAAACCCAGCAGTCCTTCTTTAGGAGTACCAAATGGGTGTGTGTGTGTGTACGTTTTATCAAATTTTACAGACGTGTATCAATCAGAAATGATTATATACGTCTGGGGACAGACCCTTAACGTCACCATCCGAAAGACGTGACTCAGTTTCAAACTGGGGTCTGCTGAGCCAGTTTGTAGGTGAAGACAAATAGCTAACAAGTGAACGTACCGCTAGACCAAGGGGTTCTCAACATTTTTCTTCACGATCCGGATGTGATTTCCATGAATGCTAAAAGGTCTGAAGCAATTGGCATATATATATTTAGTTGATTCATCAATTATTTCCCTTCATATAAGTTTGTTATATTACGTACTGTCCTTACAGTTTGCACATAGACAGTCAAAGGGGGAAGTTATGATAAAAATATAATTGGGAAAACTTCAAAAGTGGCACCGTTTCGGCGTTTCCCGGCAATAGGCTGATTAAGCAAATAAACATTGTCACAAATGGAGTGATTGGAAGATGAAGGCATTGATGTAAATGTTCCGAAATGACAATCTAATCCTATAATAATGGCACTTGTGAAGAAAGCGAGGCTTGTTTTTAAACCTTTAGGTCTTTTTCTGATCCAAGGGGAATTGTTACAGTTTAACCCTAAAGGGGTCTGTTTATTTTGTTACTCTCTTAGCCAAAGGGAGTGCCGGCCCCCTTGAAATATCGACCACACCTTGGCATATTGATTGGAGTATCTCATGAATATTAATGAAGTTTCATGTCTATGTGTCAAATGGCTTTTGAATGATTACTAATTATTAACCAGTCACATATCTGCATTGTATACAGTATATATGGGGTAATATCTATGCTTTTTTTACCCTTCGCAGTACCATTTGTACCCTTCTGTAGAAATTAAATAAATTTGGTATCGAAAGATAGAGGTCGGATGATTTCTGCCCTCGTCCTTTTAGGGTTTAAAAAAACAAAAACACCCAGAGTTTTCGACGGGCGGTCTGGATCGACACGCCCTGTGGTCCAGACTTTGAGAAGCCCTTCGCTAGACCAACTCCCGACTCCATCAAAACAAGACCTAGGACCCGCATGAGTGGAACTATAAACCTATTGAAATGAGACTTTGGATTTGTTTTCCAGTTGCCGATGGATCGCTGAGACTTGCTGGAGGAGCGACCATACATGAGGGACGGGTCGAGATTTACCACAATGGCCAATGGGGTACTGTTTGCGATGACAACTGGGATACTACTGATGCTGACGTAGCCTGTCGGCAGCTAGGCTACGTGAGAGTCGACGTATTAATCGACGGGGGTTCCGGGTCGGGGCCAATCTGGTTGGACGAAGTGGCTTGTGGTGGCTCGGAGGCTATGCTTTCTTCATGCTACCATAGTGGTTGGGGAACCAATAACTGTGGTCATTCCGAAGATGCAGGAGTGCGATGCTCATCCTCAGATGGTAAGATATTTGTAAACTTAATCCTATAAATTATAATAAGGGCACTTGTATAGTGAAGAAAACAAGGCTTGTTTTTAAACTTTTAGTTCTTTATCTGATCCAAGGGGAATTGTTACATTTTAACCCTAAAGGGGTCTGTTTATTTTGGTACTCTCTTAAGCTATGGTCACAACTCAGAGCTGGGACCGACCGATTTGTAGCCTGCTAGGTCGCCGCTGGACTTTAGGCATCGCCCAATAATTTTTGGAGAAGTCGAGCAGGCTTGTAGAGCCCAAGCGATGCCTGGGCGGTGCCCTGTCGATTTCCCGTTGGTCGCTGGTTGATTTTAGGTCAAAACTGGGCGAAATCGGGGAGCTCCTCCAGACGGCGTCCCGGCAGTGACCGACTGATGACCCACCAGTTTGCCGAGCGATCTCCCACCGTCCACCGGCTGATTTTAAAGAAATTGCCCGGCGGCCGGCCGATGATCGGCGGGGCACCAAAATACGCTCGATGCCCAGGGGGTCACCGACCTAATTGAGCGTTCGCCGTCGAGCGATTTAGGTCAAAATTTCGAAACCGCTAGGTCGACCGATTTTGAACTCCCCGCCCAGTGACCGATTGATCTCCCAGCAACGACCGAACGGGCCAGGGCGGCGACCGCGCAGCAGCCTTTGACCTAGCGGATTAGGTCGGTGCCCGGGCGGCGAATGCCTGGACACAGAGCGTATTTTGGGCGGCGAGTGAAAAGTGAGCAGTGAGCAAGTGGGATCTACAAGTGGAACAGGTCATCAAACGTGCATCCAGACGTCTGTATATCCTGTGCAAATTGAAGAGGAATGGAGTTCCAACCAGTGATCTTGTGCTCATATACACAATGTATATCCGACCATTGATGGAATATTGTGCACCAGTGTGGAGCAGTAGCCTGACAACACAGCAGTCAGATAGCATAGAGCGGGTACAGCGTAGATCACTCAGGATGATATCATACCCTGATCAACAGCACTATGAGGAACTCCTGAGCAGCTTCGGCATTCCCTCCCTTGCCAGGAGAAGAAGTGACTTACTTACCAACTTTGCCAAATCAATCCTTGTCTCCTCGCGACACCGTGATTTGCTTCCGGTTGAACGACAGCATCTCTCGCGAGGTGGACTTAGGAATTCTAACCACTTACACATTCCTTACGCAAGAACTGAACGATATAGAAAATTAAGTGTCCCCACACTTGTCAAACTGGTCAATGCTCAGTTGTAGATCATCTTTTTTTTTTTTTTTTTTTCCAAATTTTTATTGATTTTCGAATTTTTTTTTAACATTACAAAAACAAGAATCATACAAGAATTAAATAATTGTATAACATTAAAAGAACAATAATCAAATACGAATCACTGTAACAATTACCCCCAAAAAAAAAAAAACAATCAAACAAACAAACAAACAGACCTGATGTAAAAACTAAAAAATCAGTCTCGGGTGGTTTGAACTATATCATTATCAAAATATAATTATGGATAATTAAAATAAATTCTCAATAGGGGACCATTTTCTATAGTGCATGTTTTCTTTGTGCTTTTGTTTAGCAATTACCAATTTTATATGTCTGATTTTCCAAATGAACGTTTCAAAACCTATGAAACTTACTACTAAATTCCTGCATTTCTGAATATAAATGTATCTCTTCAATAAGATAATTAAGTGATTTAATAATATTTTATGTGGTCCCTTCCAATCCTTTATGAATCCAAACATCATTCTTTTCCTAGATAGATCCTCATATCTGACAGATAGCTTTAGACCAATTTTATCGACAAAAGCTCGTCTTAAATCTTCAGCAACCTTACACTCATAAAAAAAGGTGTAAAGGAGTTTCAACAGAGGTCTCGCACAATGTGCAAAGTTCTGTCTGAACTTGCTTCATTTTAAATAGTCTCTCATTGGTGTATAGAATATTATGCAAAATTTTAAACTGGAAGACTCTCATCTTAACTTCTATTGTGCATTTAAATGGGAGTAGATACATTTGTGGCCATTCCTCCTCTTCTATCCCATATTTAGTGGAAAATAGGGGTTCACAGACAGGTCTACATGTCAATTTACTAACTAAATCAACATAAATATTTCTAGTTTTTAGTTTTTGAATTTCTACTGTCAAAAGGTCAGACTGATCATGTTCAAAATCTATTTTCTCCAAGAACATTTGTATCAATAATTGATTAAATGAACTTCCCCATTTCTTCCTGACTAGCGATACTATTGCCAAATATATCATGTAGTATTTACCTGGTACTCCTCTTGCTTTCCAAAGATTAAATTGCACAATGTTTCCATGTAGATCAAAAAGTTGATATACATAACATAGACCTGCCTCATGAAAGGCCTTACAGTAAACTGATTTATTATCAATAAGAATATATTGATTGTTCCAAACAATTTGACTAAGTACACTTGCTTGGGCTCCTTGATCATCAACAAATTGATTATACTCCTTTGTCTTGGACCATGCTAACAACAAGTTATGATAAAATATGGGAATTCCAAGAGAATTCAACTGGTTCATAGAATAATTACTCATAAAAATCAATTTTCCACCAAATCGTTTACTATAGTGGTCAAAGAACAACTTCCAATGATGATCTGATTCTGTATAATATCTCTGAATCCACTTAACCAGCTGTGTCTCTATCATGCATTTTAGTTTCGGGAATTTAAGACCACCTTCAGTATAATCTGCAATCATTGTTGCCCGTGATATCTTATCTGGACCTTTCCATATAAACTGAAACATCAACTTTTCAACCTCCTTAACAAAATCATCGGGTATTTCAATATTGGAAACTATATACATAATCTTAGACATAACAAATGTTTTCAACAGTTGAATTTTTCCTATTAAAGTTAACCCCCGATTCTTCCATCTTAAGAAAGTACATTTTATTTCATCCAGTCTCTTATCAAAGTTCAGTTTCCTGACCACTTCCTGATCATATGAGAAATGAATGCCTAAAATTCTTATGCTTTTGTCTGCCCAATGTATATCATTTGTTTTTTCTCCATTGTGCCTATCTTTCCCAACCCATATACCTTCCGTTTTTGTTTTATTCAAATAAAGACCTGATATGATTGAGAATTCTTCAAAAACTTTGAAAACCATCTTCATTGATTGTATATTCCTACAAAAGCAAGTTATGTCATCAGCATATGCTGTATACTTTATTTGTTTTCCACTAAATTCAAAAGCCTGAATATTATCATTATTATTAAGTCTTGTAAGAACAACTTCCAAGCTCAGTATAAACAGTAAAGGAGCCAGAGGATCACCTTGTCTGACTCCTCTAGACACTGGAAAATATCCAGTGGTAAATCCATTCACCAATACACAACTACTTATATTAGTGTGCAATGTTCTAACCCATTGTATGAAAGATGGGCCAAAATTTAACGCTTCTAAACAATTTAGCATGTACCTGTGGCTTATTGAATCAAATGCTTTTGATAGATCAAGGGCTAGCATAATACCTCTCAAATTCTCCTCCTTAGTATATTGTAAGAGGTCTGATATTAATCGTATTCCTTCCCCTATGTATCTGCCTTTAATAAAGGCAGTTTGTTGACTATCTACTAACTTTCCTATCACCTTAGCAACTCTCTTCGCCAAGCATTTAGAAAGTATTTTAACATCTACATTTAAAAGAGTTATGGGACGCCAATTGCTCAGTGTGTGTTTATCTCTATCAGGCTTAGGGATGAGTTTAATTGTACCTTGTCTTTGTGACACAGACATTACACTATTTTCATATGCAAAATTGAAAGAATCAATAACTTCTTTTGATATCAAAGGCCAAAACATCTCATAAAACTCCACAGTTAACCCATCGTTCCCAGGTGTTTTATTTCTAGCCATTTTTAACAATTCTGCCCTAGCTTCAGAGCAAGTGATATTTCCTTCACATGAATTTCTTTCTTCGTCTGTGAGTTGCTTGATGTTACTCTGACTTATGTAATCTTTGCTCACCTCATCTTCCACCTTATCTTTGTTCTCAAACAAAGTTTTATATGATTTCTTAATGAAATCCTGTATTTCAGACTGTTTATCAATACGTCCTACATCTGAAATCAAAACATCAATATTGGAATTTGCTGCTTGACCTTTTTCCAATGACAAAAAATATTTAGTACTCTTTTCCCCTTTCTCATACCATGTACACCTTGACCTCAAGATTGCCCCATCTGCAAAATAGTCATATATTTTAAACAACTCCTGTTCTATTTCCCTTTTCTTTTTCATTAATTCTTCATCTATATCTTCTGCTGCCATCCTGTCATCTAATTTTTTCAATTCTTTTTCAAGAGCCTTTCTTTTCTCTTCCCTTTTACATTTCTTCTTCTTAGAAAATGGTACAGTAAATTCTCTAATTTTAAACTTTAACCAATCCCATAGCCCTCCTTTATCATTACTATCTGTAAACTCACCAATCCATTCTGAGTATTTATTAGCTAAAGCATTAACATACTCCACATCATTCAATAGACTATTGTTAAATTTCCAGTAGGACGGACCAGAATTTTTTGTCTTAATTTTCATGTGCAAACTAACATGATCATGATCAGACAAAACACACGGTATGATATCATTTTCACTAATTGTATTCTGTAAGGATTCATGGATTAACCAAAAATCCAATCTAGATTGCACCAGTGGGTTATACCTTCTACATGTAAATCCTTTTTTGCAGGGGTTTCTGATTCTCCAAACATCAACCAAACCAAAATATATTTTCAGATTTTCTATAAGATTCACAGAGTGCTTCCAAATGCTTTTCATTGAGCCACCTGCCCTGTCCAGATCAAGGTTTTGAATTAAATTAAAGTCCCCACCAATTATTAGAATTTCCCCATTTTCAACATTATCTTGTATGGTCAATTCTACCTTCTTAAAAAACTCAACCTGATCCTTCTCATTATTTGGTGCATATATGTTGCATATCACATAAACTTTCTTCTGAATTTCAACTTTTACCAATAAAAATCGTCCCATTATATCTTTAATGGAGTCTAACAATTTAAAATCGGGTATCTTTCTTAATATAATGCATACTCCTCTGCTCTTAGAAGTTCCATGACTGAAAATAATATCAGATCTAACTTGATTTCTCCATAATGATTCTTCCTTTTCTACAGAATGAGTTTCCTGTAAAAGGATAATATCTTTGTTCTGTTTAAGCATATAATTAAAAAAACGTTTCCTTGCTTTAAAGTCCCCCAATCCGTTAACATTATGTGTCATCAGCTTCAAATCCATAGTTGAGATATGAATTACTTAAAAATACCACCATTATAAGATCAGGTTTAACATATATTAAACATTCAGGTTCAACAAACAAACAACACAAAAAACAAATCATAACAAAGGCTAGTTCTTCTGTATGCCTTAGGGAGATCAAGGTGGCGCTCTACATCGTGGTCTTTCCTTTTATCCTTTGAGTGCTTTTTCCACATATTCACCTATAAGAGTTCACACTCAGAGTTAAGTTCTTGTCATTAACCTAATCTAAGTATTCCTTTTTCACTTTTCTTCTTGTTTTTAAGTAGGCAAGGTAAGTCCAGCTCTATAACATTATTCATGTTTTTTTTTTTTTTTTTAATGTTTCCAGCATTTCGATGTGGAATGATAATATTTTCTTTCCTTTGACGTTTTGAGTTATTTCATCTTGTATTCTTTCTCCTTCCCGTCTTTTCCTTCTTTGTAGAAGATGCGAGCAGGATACTTGAAGTACACTGCTCTCCTTGTATTTTCCTCTTTCAGCTTCTTCTTGATGTGAATCAGCTTCTTCCGTTGTTCACGAATTTCCTTGGGCAACATTTCATCCACGTAAATAGGATGCTTTCCATTGTGCTCAAAGGGTTTCTCCTTCAAGAAGCGACGTGCATTTACCAGGATCATACTTTTGGTCGAGTACCGATTAAAGGCTGCAATAATCGGCCTTGGTCGAGGTGATGAGGTGCTTCCGCTGCGATGTGCCCTTTCGATGATTACTTCAGCTTCAATCTGCAAATGCGACTTGGCAAATGACTGGATCAAATTTTCACAATTCTTGTTCTCAGCACCCTCTGGAAAGCCTTGGAACACAAGTGTGTTTCTCATTCCCCTGGCGGATAGGTCTGTCAGACGTTCACGCAACTTCTCATTCTCCTTTTCTTGTGCGTGCAATTTCTCTTTGATTACACCAATGTCAAACTCAATCCCTTCTTGCTTTTCCTTCACTTCTTCTATCTCTCTCTTATTGTTATCAATCTGAGTAAGGGATAAGTCTAATCTGGCCACTATGTCATTGAATTTTGAGTTCATTTGATCCATTCTGTCAAGAAGCTTTGCTAGTAAATCTTCAGTGGTTGTACTTGCCTGCACCTTTTGATCTCCATTGATCTTTCGCTTCTTCTCTGCCCGCAGTTCGTCTTCGTCTTTTTCCTTCTCCTTTCCCCCGACAGCTTGGGGGTGCAACTCCTGCGAGTCCTGGCCTGCTTCGCTGGTTCCAGTAAGCACTGACTGCTGAGTGAGATTTTCAAGTTGAATGTCCGAGTTTTCATCGATATCCATCTCTGTTCTGCCTGAAATTGAGCCAGAAGGGGTGAAGTATTGGGAAATCCTTGGTGAAACGTCCATTTTGTCCATCTGTCTTTTCTTTCCACTCATTTTTAAATGATCTTACAGAAATTTTCCACGATGAGAAAAAAATACGGTTTGACTTAGTAGCAGGGCGCCATCTTTCCCATGTGTAGATCATCTTTAGTAATGTATCATATTTGTTTTTCTTCTCTTTTTTAATAATATTGGAGTTATTGTTTGTTACTTTGTTTAATTGAACTCAAGATCGATCCAAAATTCAAAATTCCGTGCACATTTTATTGAGTGCTCTTCATTTTTCTTATAAAGTTGTTCTTAAACCTAGGTGTATAATTCTGCTGCAATAACATAATTGTAACTCAACCCCAATTTAAAATTTAAAATTTAATGTGGAAACTCAACAATTATGAGAATTTGTGTATGCTCATGGGCACTATACATCACTTTATATGAAATGCTTTAATGATATATTCTTAATGTAATAATTCTATTCAACATAATTTGACCTTACCTGTCACACAACAGACACATGCACCTGCATGTATATTTTTTCAGTCTATGGATCTCATGTTAACAATTGCAATATAATAATTTCCTTTCTCTCTCTCTCTCTCTACCTCTATATATATATATATATATATATATATATTTTAAAAATAATTGTTTAATTTAAAGATTATTTGTACTTGCAATAACTGGTTCAACATTTATTATCATCCATCTATTATCATTTATTTATATATGTATATAACTTTAGGTATGAACAATAATTTTAACTTTATCTTTTATCATTTTTATTATACAAATATATGATCATTCCTGTTTTTATGCACATTTTATGTAAACATTGCTACTGGTCCCTGGACTACTGCATTGTACATTGTATATGTTGATATTAATAAACCGAAATTGAATTGAATTGAATTGAAAGGCGCTGCCCAAATTTTAACTCCGCGCTAAAACTTCAGCGGCGACCGAGCGATGTCCTTCGCAGTACCATTCGTACCCTTTTGTAGAAATTAAATAAATTTGGTATCGAAAGATAGAGGTCGGGTGATTTCTGCCCTGGTCCTTTTATGGTTTAAAAAAACAAAAACACCCAGAGTTTTCCGGATTGACACGCCCTGCGGTCCGGACTTTGAGAAGCCCTTCGCTAGACCAACTCCCGACCCCCATCAAAACAAGACCTAGGACCCACATGGGTGGAACTATGAACCTAATGAAATGAGACTTTGGATTTGTTTTCCAGTTACCGAGGGATCACTGAGACTCGCTGGAGGAGCGACCATATATGAGGGACGGGTCGAGATCTACCACGATGGCCAATGGGGCACTGTATGCGACGACAACTGGGATACTACTGATGTCGATGTAGCCTGCCGGCAGCTAGGCTACGTGGGATCAGTAGCATTAATCGACGGGGGTACCGGGTTGGGGCCAATCTGGTTGGATGAAGTGGCTTGTGATGGCTCGGAGGTTATGCTTTCTTCATGCTCCCATAGTGGTTGGGGAACCAATAACTGTGGTCATTCCGAAGATGCAGGAGTGCAATGCTTTTCTGCAGCTGGTAAGATATATGTAAACGTAAAGGGGAAGTCCATCCTGATATTTAGTTTCTTTTAATCATAAGCAAAAAAACAAGTAAAACAGATCAGTAGAAGTTAAGGATAAGGTTTTATATATTTTAAAAGTTTTAATTGATCAAAATCAAATTGGCAACTCTTTTTAGCTAGGATTTATCTATCCATGACGTATCTTTCTTTAATTATTTGGACTGTACTGAAAATTTCCATTTTCTTTAAAGGAAATACTCGTTTATACATGCCACTTATATATATAATTATTGGATTTTTTTTCACATCCCATTTATGAACTAGACCTAAATCTTTATCAACAACCAATTGTATATTTATATGCAACCCATTTCCTGTCCTAAATTTGATTTGTTTTAAAAGTTAGCATCATTTCAGTATGAAAGAGAATTAGAGATACCGTAGAATACAGTGGAAACGAGTATATATGGACTATGGAAATTACCTGGTTATATCGGTTGTAAAAACAATAGTTTACAAAGAGCTGCAACCAGCAAATTTACCTTGTTGTAGAGGTATCCCTGATGAGAGTTCTTTCAGCCTCTGGACTATCGGATTAGCTTTAATAATTTAAAGATAAAGTTGAGTTCTGGTCGTGCCGAGTGTTTTAAGGCGCTTGACTGGAGATGGGAAGGTCGAGGGTTTAAATCCCGACACGGCACTAATATCCCTTGGCAAGATAGTAACCTGCACTTGCTACCCTCCACCCAGGTGTTAGAATGGGTACCCGTATAGGATGCGACCGTCCTTGTTGGTCAAACAGTTTTTGAGCGTCAAGTCACGCCTTTCTGGAATGCTCCCCAGGGAGTGGAGATTGTGCGCACAGTGTGTGCGGGCAAGCACTGAATCCAATGACCGGGGTAATAATATATCTGTAAAGCGCTTAGAGACGTCCGGGATTATTAATTAAACGCTATATAAAAGCTGAATATTATTATTATTATTCTATTGTGAAAGAAACGGTGTGGAATCTATCAGAAAAGGTTGATCATCTAGCATAGAAGTATTGGTGTGTACTGCAAGGTTCTGGACTCATCAAAATGATAAGAAATTTTGCCAAGTCTTCGTAAATTAAGTTACAAGCACTGTACACAGAAAGATGTGTATGGGACTACACGAACATGTGGCATAAAAATCTGTCCCGATTTTTATGCTGCCGCATGCCATTTTTAGAATATGAAGGTATTTGAGGGGCCATGCTTTTCACGGGACATTTTTTACTCTGATGTTCTTACACACTTGCATAATAACAATGATAATGCTCACAAATTATTTTTCACCTCTTCCCGGAACTCAACCTTCTCTTTAAAAAATCTGTATGTGTCTTTCAGATTTAGAAAAGACATTGAGACTCTCCGGTGGAGCGGATGAAAATGAGGGGCGCATCGAAATTTTCCATGCCGGTGAGTGGGGCACCGTTTGCGACGACAGTTGGGACATCCAGGATGGAGTGGTAGCTTGCCGACAGCTTGGCTACTTTGGCGTTGACACGGTGTACGACGGAGCTCATTTTGGCGAGGGTTCCGGGACTATATGGCTTGATGATATGCAGTGCAGGGGCACGGAGGACAGGTTGAGTGTTTGCTCTGGAGGAAGTAGTTGGGGAGTCCATAACTGCAGTCATGCAGAAGATGCCGGAGTGAGGTGCTTATTGACTTCGGGTAAGTCTCGTGAACGGGATTGTCCTTTTGTAATAATGACAACAAAACGTGTACAGTCAAACCTGCTTTAGTGACCACCTGTCTACAAAGACCACCTTTCTACAAGGACCACATTTGTTGTTTCCCTTGAAAGTGGTGTCTCGTTTAAACATGTACTAAAGGAACCTGTCTACAAAGACCACTTTTTGTATTTCCCTTGGGCGGTCGCTGTAGGCAGGTTTGACTGTACTTGTATGTCAATCATGGCGCAGTTACTGTACTTAAAGGGGAATCCAACCTTGATAATGAACTAATCTAAAAGAGAGCAGAAAAATCAGAGAAGCGGTCTGGTGAAAATTGAACAAAATGGGACACAAAATGTAAAATTTAAGGTTTTGCAAAAGGACTATAGTGCCACGACATGTTGGACTCAATCCGTGAACCATGTTGATGTGATCTAAAGTCCATTGACTTATCCACCAGACCACTATACTGTCATAGATCAAACTAGTTTATCAAAATTCTCCATTTAGAAACACTCACAGTGACAGTTATTATCAATTTTAAACCAGTAAAATACAGCCCCACTTTTGCACGTGAAGAGCTCTCTAAACAGTGCCGAGATTTGTGAAGTCACTCTATGGACCGAATTAGCATAAGCAGACGATGTCCTATAACGACGCACACATTTCCAGTACCCGTTTTGTTGTCTGCTCTTCACTTATTTCTCTTATTTCACCAGTGTCAATGTAATCGTTTGATCTGTTGCCTCACTTTAAATTTCGGACACGGTTTCATTTTGATGAAAAAATGCAGCTATATGAACAAAAATAGAGAAATCAGTTGTAGCTTCACAATGGATTGTAAGGAAGAAGCAATTCAGCTACATACACCGAAGCATGTGCAGCATTTCAACCAAGATCAGACACCATCCAATCTATCGTTTTCGAGCTTTTCAATTAGAAAATGGGCTGATATTTCAGTGTTTTTTTTTTCAGTCGATCATTTATCCTTGCACTGGATTTTCCTAAGCAAAGAATTATAATTTTCAGCATCAGCATCACTTTCCATTTGTAATGGTGTGTAATATGTTTGAAAATATGTTCATTAGTTATAGGATGTTGTCTGCATAAGCAGGATTGGACCCTGATGTTACATCATCAAAACATGGCCAAATTTTCTTGTGAAACCATCGTATAAGCCAGATCCTGAGAATTTCTTTTATTTGTGTAAATTTGTTGTTATTGTCTGATACGCAGTTGACCTAAAACTTATTTAAATATCATATGCAAACTTCCTGGTTTCTAGGGATAAATTATTGACCATATTTCATACTTGTAATTTTCATTGAATGTCCTCTGTTATGCCTAGGTCACATATAAACCGGGCCCCGTACGATTTTCCCTACTCGGCGGCTTGCCGTGGATTTAGAGACCGTACGGGAACCGTCCGATTTTCATTTCTACCGCATGTGTGGTCACATATTCTGCGGCGCCCGGGAGGTGCCCGGAGAAAATTGGTCGAGTGAAATTCAAGGCGCCCGTAAGTGTGCCGCACGGTGCCGGCCGAGTGCCGACCGGTAACCTTACGGGCTCCGTCCGATGAGCAGGTGTACCGATGGCTCCCGGAAGGTGAGGAATAAAACAGTGCATTGAACAAAGGCAGTCAGACAGGGGCACGCGCACACGCACACACACACACACACACACACGCGCACATGCACAGGCACACGCACACAAATGAGCATTCCATTCCCGACAAGGCCCACCCAAACTGTTACTTTTTGTCGGGAATTCTTCTTATCGTACGAAAAGTTGAGTGGCCGCTGTCCTCTTGGTGCGCATTTGCGGATGTTGTGCTTCATGATGATGATGATGATGATGATGATGATGATGATGATGATGAAGATTAAGATGATGACAATTATGATGATGATAACATGATGGTGGTAGTGAATGTGTACAAAAGGGAAAGATTTTTAGGGTTATGCCACTTAAACATTCAGCGATCTTGATAAAAATCAATGCTCAATCAGAAAAGGGGTAATTATGAAACAATTATTGTCACCGCGTGTGTTGTGTGTGGGTGTGCGTGTGCGTGCGTGTGCTTGTGTTTGTCTGTTTTTGTCTGTCTGGCTAATTGACTAATTGAAAAAAAACTGGCTGTCATTGTTCAAAACATTATTTTATTCCTCACCTAGCAACTTGGCGCAAGTGAGATCTGGCAGTCTTGTAAAGATTGTCTGATGTTCAGTAATGCATGCAGAGATTCAAATGAAAATGGTACCTAAATGTACTGGGAGGATAACTCTATCAAGACATATCTCATGAAACTCATGATTAAATATTCATACTTCAAACAATACAACTTTCAAAAAGTGGGACATTTTTTCTGACTCACTCTGTAGGTGTCCTCTGGTATCCGCATCTCCTGTATTTAAAACTGCGTTGTACATTTCGAGATGCCGCCGTGAGGGACCCGCACGGGCAATATTCATTTTAAATGGCCCCCGGACGGCGGACGCCTATTGTTGTGCATATCACCCGGTGCTCTTTAGGGGCCAGTGAGGGGGCCGTAGGGTACACATACGGAACCCTTGAGCACCACAAGGTGTCCGTAAAGATTTTTCATGAGAATTGACCCCCAAAATCGTGAGGGGCCCGTCCGGAGCCCGCACGCGACCCGTAAGGTGCCCTACGGGCCCTTTACGGGCTTTCTATGGCCTAACGGTCAGATAAAAACACCGGGAGAAAAGGGAGCAGCCAACTCAGCACCACGGCTTAAAAAAACTGTCGCGGCGCCCGTAGGAACTTTACAGCAACAGGCCGAAAATTCCCAAAATGTCTGTTTTTACTCGACGTACGGGGCCCCGGAGTGTATATGTGAAAGCCCCATAACTATTTGAATGGCACAACTGCAGTGGCGGATCCGGGGGGGGGGGGGGGCACAGGGGGCACGTGCCCCCCTGGCCAACCAAAATATGTTAATATAAGCCCTAAATTCGGCCAAAATATACTTAAAAACAGGGGCGTGCCCCCGGGCCAAAAAAAAATTATTAAAAATTTATTTAAACAAAATATAATAAAAAAATATGCCAATGGCTGACCTAAAAAGGTGACCTTACCCCCCCCCCCCCTCAACGGAGCAAAATGTCAAATTTAAAAATTTCGTGATCCCCCCCCCCAAGAAAAAGTGTCCTCTTACCCCCCCCCCCCCCCCCCCCCCCAGCTTATTCAGCGGCTGGCTGAGTCGTTGCGATTTTTTTTGGGACCCCCCGAAAAACAAAAGTGTCCTCTTACCCCCCTCCTTCCCTCCCCCCGCTTATTCAGAGGCTGGCTGAGTCGTTGCGATTTTTTTTGGACCCCCCCCCCCCAAAAAAAAAAAAATCCTCTTACCCCCCCCCCCCCCCCCCTTCCTCCACCCCGCTTATTCAGCGGCTGGCTGAGTCGTTGCTATTTTTTTGGACCAAAAAAAAAATGTCCTCTTTAATACACAGGGTAGGCAAAAATAGCTTGTGATCACATCATTAGAACAGATAGACAGATTACCATGAAACTCAGGACATGTATGTATCTTGCTGAGGCAATGAACTGATTAGATTTTGGGGTCATGAGGTCAAGTTCAAAGGTCATGGGCTCATTATGTATGCAAAAATAGCTTGTGATCACATTATCATTAGAACCGATGGATGGATTACCATCATACTCAAGATATGTATGTTTCTTGCAGAGCCAATGAACTGAGTAGATATTGGGGTCATGAGGTCAAAGATCAAAGGGTCATACATGTATATGAGAAATAGCTTGCAATCGAACTTCTGTTTTGATTTGTAAAATTGCTCTATGACGGAGGCATCATTTTCGACTGCGCGCAGTCGAAGTTCCATCTAGTTTTCTATTAATTTGTCCTATATAATACATCAGTTCTACCCCTTTTTAATCAGATGCAGGTAACGGAGAAGTGCGATTGGTTGATGGCCCCTCAGAACGGGAAGGGCGCCTAGAGATCTTCCACGCCTTTCAGTGGGGCAGCATCTGCGACTACAGCTGGGATAGGGCGGATAGCGAAGTGGTCTGCGGGCAGTTGGGCTTCTCTGGGAAAGCGGATTACTTCACCGCCAATCAGAAGGGGTATGGTATTTTGGAGGGCCAGATTTGGCTCGATTCCGTGTCGTGCGATGGGTATGAAGTGCGATTGGAACACTGCGATCACAGCGGCTGGGGAGTACACGACTGCACACATTCAGAAGATGTCGGTGTAGCATGCCACGCCACAGGTGAGAATACATAAGGGCGGATCAAGAATATACAAAAGGTGGATGGGGGGGGGGGGGTGCCAAATGCCCCATCTCTGACAAGTATTTTATGTCTTGTGGTATAATTATAGAAATAACTGTTTTGTTTGGTGATTGGTAACCAGGGGTGGTATTCTGAACATTGTTGTAAGTTTTGTGTTATCTTTTGTTGTATCTCCCAGAGATAACACAGCACTAATATTGTTGTAAGTTGGTATTCTGAACATCATTTTATCCCTGTGTTATCTCTTGAAGGACCGCCTCTATCTTATCTTTGACCGCTGTTGACACGCCCATTTTTATGGACCCTACCAATCAAAATCTGTTTTATATAAGCATGATAAGTAGGTCAACCAATAGAAATACTTTATGCCATATCTAAAGATGCGCCTAGCGCATACTAATCTTGGGCGTAATTAGTTATTTGAGCGCTTATTACGCGCGTCATCATTTGCGCTGTGGCATGTGGATCATGAAGACAAATGACGCTTTCACTATATTGGTTAAGATGAGAGCATTAAAATCATCATATCCTAGCATTTAATTTCTTAGAAAGTTCTCATCTTTGATGTTTCCGGTCAACACATTATCTTCTTCTAACTCGTCTATTGGCACAAAGTTGGTTCTGGGCAAGAAATATTGCCGCCATTATATCACCACGAAAGATACAACAACCCCCTACCTGTTGTAAATATTGTTGTAAATACCATGCAAGATAAGATAAGATAAAAGATACAACAACTTTCAGAATACCAATTATCTCGACATATTATCTCCCGTGCGCATTATGCAAATGAGGATTAAGCGCCATGTTATTACTAATAAGCACAATTACAAGCGCACCAAGCTATGAGCAAAGAAAAGATACAACAAAAGATAACACAAAAGTTACAACAGTGTTCAGAATACCAACTTTATCTTATCTCCAAAGATACAACAATATTAGAGATAACACAGGGTTCAGAATACCGCCCCAGACCCCTTAGTGGTGTAGCAAAGTTATTTTGAATTGCAGTGACAGATTTTCTCATGCAATAGTTGTAACATTACGGAGCCCCTAAGGTGACATGACAAAAAAAAAAATCATAAGTCGTTCCCACGACTTAGCTAACTCATGCGCACGACTTAGCTAACTCGTGCGCACGACTTAGCTAACTTGTGCCCATGACTTACTAACTCGTGCCCACGACTTACTAACTCGTTACCACGACTTATAGGTGACATGTCAATTTTTTTTTAATTATTTTTTTTCCACATTTTAAAATTTTTTTTAGAGCTAACTCGTGCGCACGTGTTAGCTAAGTCGTGCGCACGAGTTACTAAAAAAAATATTTAAAAAATTGAAGAAAAAAAAATTATAAAAAAAAAAATTATGATTTTTTTTTGTTGACGTGTCACCTATAAGTCGTGGGCACGAGTTAATAGCGAGCTTTAGATTTTCGACACCGAACGACCTCTTCTACGAGTGACGTCACTTCGAGTAACTGCGCATGCGCCACCTGCTTCTAGCTCGTCGTCTGTGAATTGACACAACGGGAGTCGGGCAAATTTTAGGCTTATCTCGAAGTGATCACAACGACTACGAGCTGGACACAAATGCTGAAGCCAGCCATCAGACTACAGTATCTGGTGAGAATATAATTCAAAAAGATATATGTGACTGCAATGAAAACAACAAATACCTATGAATTTGATCAATCACTTTACTTCAACCTATTTAATTTCACTTTTTTGACGAAATTAAGGAGTTTTCTGCACAGCTGAGGTTCGAACAGCTGTGCAGACTAACTATGACGTAACAAAGAAAACTTGTCGCGCGCATATCACTGCGTATCACTGCGCATCACTGCGCATGCATTTAAACATTGGCACCGCGTCGTGTGACAATCTTAAGCGCTAGCAAGAGGAGACCCAACGTGGATTCAACGACGAGCATAACAATGACGTCCTAGTCGAGGTCGTTCGGTGTCAAAATCTAAAGCTCGCTATTGAGTCGTGCGCACGACTTATGATTTTTGTTGTTGTTGTCATGTCACCTTAGGGGCTCCGTATAACATAGATGTACCCATGATACTATTTTCCTGATCGTTTCTTTATTCAGGTTTACTCTGGGGAAAAGGGGAATGGAATAACAAAACCAGACGAGTGTCAATGATAATGACTACATGAAATGATGATCTGTGACATAAAAGGAAATCCAATCTTTAAAGTAAATCGCTCTGAAGGGAAAGTAGTTTATATGAAAATCTATTAATTATCTGATCATGAGGAATTTTTTTATGCCTCCGTTACGAAGTAGCCTGAGGCATTATGTTTTCGGGTTGTCCGTCCGTCCATACGTACGTACGTCCCGTTCTCGTGATCGCGTTATCTGAAGAACCGATTGATGGATTCCTGCCAAACTTTGGTCATGTATGTATCTTGCAGAGCCGATTAACTGATCAGATTTTGGGGTCACGAGGTCAAAGGTCACAGGGCTCATTATGTATGCAAAAACAGCTCGTGATCGCCTTATATCTAGAACCAAGTGATGGTTTCCTGCCAAACTTTGGTCATGTATGTATCTTGCAGAGCCGATGAACTGATTAGATTTTGGGATCACGAGGTCAAAGGTCACAGGGCTCATTATGTATGCAAAAATAGCTCGTGATCGCGTTATCTCAAGAACTGATTGATGGATTCCTGCCAAACTTAGGTCATGTATGTTACTTGCAGAGCCAATGCACTGATTAGATTTTGGGGTCACAAGTTCAAAGGTCACAGCGCACATTATGTATGCAAAAACAGCTCGTGATCGCGTTCTCATTAGAACTGACAGATGGATTACTATTTAACTCAGAACATCTTGCAGAGCCAATGAACTGAGTAGATTTTAGGGTCATGAGGTCAAAGATCAAAGGGTCATATATGTATATGAGAAATTGCTTGTAATCACGATATTCTGAGAACCTGTTGATGGATTACAATTGAACTTGAATTTGAAAAATTTCTTCTGTTTTTGTTTGTAAAATTGCTCTATGATGGAGGCATCATTTTCGACTGCGCGCAGTCGAAGTTCCATCTAGTTATATTGAATTCTAAGTTTTTCTCGTCATTTTGTGTTCCCTGTTTACAGGAAGAGGTGGTGGCTTATCAGGAGGGGCAATAACTGTAATCGTCATTGGATCATTATTTGGAATAAGCTGTTGCTATCACCGTTGTTGTAAAGGGGATAAGAAGAAACCACCAAACAATGTGCAGATAACAACCCAAACAAGAATCGAAGGACCTCTGGAGTCGGGAGCTATGCTAAGAGTCGAGGATGGGGACAACATCCCTCCAGCCACTGCTGTCGATCCTGACCCCGGTCAACCGGACCTCCCACCACCGTCGTACGACGATATCACCAAGTATTCGCCGTATGGTGGGCTAGGACCGGAGGGGGCATACCCTCCACCAGCATCGGTACCAGCATACCCCTCTGCACCCCCCTCCTCCATGCCCTACCCACCACCATCTACAAGTGCTTCCGTTACATATCATTTTCCTCCTGGTGATTCGGGTGCGGTCCTGACTGCACCCCCTGCTTACTCCGACAGCTAATCCTCTTCCGGTGTCACATATCGAGGGTTGGTGACACAAAGACGTAACTCGCCAAAATGAGTATTTGATATCAAAATGTTCAGAAAAATGTGGGCTTTCCAGGAAACACAAAGACTTTACTCCACCCGACAACCCATTTAAGTCAATGGCTAGTGAACATAAACTTAACTCCTCAAGGCCCAAGTGCTCAGTGACACATAAACCACTTTTTCTCAAAATGGCCAAAATAGAGTTACGTCTTTGTGTCACTGACCCCTCGATATCAAAGTAGATGCAATTCCTTATGACTAAAGGAAGGTTTTCTATATGTTTTTTTTATGCAAATGATCATCTTTTACCTGTACTGTTCATTATGTACTCGGTTGAAGCCAGTGTACCTGAAGATTCCCAAGTTTTATTGGGTTGTTTATATTATGTATCTGTCCAACATGAGAAACTTATCTTTTGTCAGATTGCAAGTTCACTCTGATATCTTGTACATGTATGTCATTCATGTAATAAAAAGGTTAAGAACGTATCGGAGAAAGGAAAATTCAATCTGTGAGAAAAAAAGTAAATTTTAAAAGTTGCATTTTATCAAACAAAGCTGTTGTAATATGTTTTATGACTCGGTGAAATGATAGAGTCTGGCAGTCGATGTAGTTACTGATTAGTAGCCATATTGTAAGACCCTTTATTTATGTATCCTTCCGCATAGCTCGGCGTGGTATTTACATATCATATCTCATGTTAATGTAGTTCCAAGTGGATATACAACAAAAGCAGCCATCCATTTTTTATATTTATTTTATTTGTATTCATTTATTTATTTTTAAACTGAGAGATTAAAAGAAATACCATTTTCTTTGTTCGCAATGAAGCGAATGTAGCCAGGACTCTGTAGAGGATTGAGGGGTTTGTAAAAACATGTCATAATAGGTTTGAACAATCATTTCTTGAAAGAAAACTCTTGAAAAAAAAAATGTACAACTTCTCACAAAGGAAACCGAAATGTTACAACATCCAAACTCATCCTTTGTCAGATTTTCCTAAAACTTTCTGATTTTTTCCCTCTCATTTCTTTGCTTCAATCAAACGAAACTTAATTTAAGAAATGACTTCCCCTTTAGATGTCCTTACAAATTGTTATGAATCTTGCCAGAAAGAACAAAAGATAGACAAATTGATTTGTTATTTTAATAGGTATATAAATTTAATTCTAATTTTATATCGGAGCTTCCAGGTCTCTCAGGAGCTTCCAGGTCTCTCAGGAGCACGAGAAAGAGCAATTTTTTTATTTTTTTGTAGGTTCCATTTATATGGCTTCTAGCATTTTAAACTCCTTTACTGTGTGTGATATTCCTTGCTTTACAAACATTAGATCTGCTTACAATTTTATTTTAGTTATATTTGTTTTACATTTTTACAGATTTACTGTATTTTAGCCTGATTTGATGAGTGAATTTGTCATGATCAAATATTTCATAGAACTTTTTGTTACCCATGAACATCATTACTGTTTGCAATTTCTATTACCATATTAATGGACATTTATATATCAAGGTTCCGACTCATTTTTATTACTGGTGTGTTATGTAGAAAGAATCTAGGCATTTGATTGGAAATCGGAGCGTTTTTAGCAATATATTGTGTTTACATTTGGCTGCCCTAAATTATAGAACTCATAATTGTTACATATGGGGTTATGTAAAACAATTTATTCTAACAAAAACAAAAATCTTATTTGTTTGTTTGTTTGACCTGACTGCTAAGAATTCATGTTTATGCTTTGTAGTAAGCAGGGGACCGACGACTTTAAGTCCTTTCTGAGAGACTTCCCAAAGGGCATTAGGGCATCGACTGTGTTTCGAACCCAGCACCTTCAGGTTAGGAAACCCACACTCTTCCACTGAGCCATTGTGCCTCCCTTCTTCCTTTATTGAAATAAAGCTTCGCAGCCAGTACTAAAAACTGGCCTTAAGTTAATAGCAAGCGAGAACCTTTAAAGCCCCAATGTACGAGTTTGGCCAGGAGGGATTAGACCTCCCTACATGGTCACTGACAGCTGGTTTTCTCATCAAATAAGCTTTCAACTAACATAAGAAAAAGGGGATCATGGGGAACCAACGGTCACCGATTAGGCATTGTTTGCTATATAGAGGGCGCAAGTAGCTATAAGTAGTGCAGCGGGCCTTAAAAAAAAATGTGTTCAGCAAGAATGCATAAAATAAACCACAACTTTTCTTAGCAGGTTTCTTATGTGCTAACGGAGAAGGGCCGGTATTCAATTCAATACTTAGAATAAGTAAGAAATTTACTAAGTAAATGGCTAAGCTAAGAAGTTTACTTATCTCGTATTCAAATCGCATTCTAGACTTTTACTTACCTGAGACAAAATCTAAGTAAAATACTTACTCATAAGCATTGTGACATCACAGGGTCAATCAAAAGTAATGCACAATAAACGCGTCACAATAAATGCGCGCTAATATAATCGTGCACAGGTTATAATACTGCATAAGAAAACCATATGCCTGCCAATCAAGGCCTCCAAATAATTGGCTTAAGTCTGGTAGGGAGCTGTCTTAAATGTAGGGTAAAATACTTAGCCAAAAGTTTGAATTGAATACCAAAATTGGCTAAGTATTGTATCTAAGCTAAATACTAAGTAAAGAGCTTAAATTTTGTACAGAATTGAATACAGGCCAAGGAGTATACAGTAAATAAAGGATACCGGGGTAACCTAAAACCTCCCTCACAGAGCCGAAGTCTGACTTGGTACCCTACAGGCTCTTTTTCTGTGGTGCGAAACTTGCAATATCTCTATGTAGAAGTAGTATTTAAAGCTTTTATTGTGAATAATTATGTAGCATAGTGACATTAAACCTCTAACATGTAAAGTGAAATATATTTTTTTAATGTTTGGTGGATTTGAAGTTTGTGTAGAGACTTAAACTGCCGTCATGTGCAATTCCGGTAGAGATGAAAAACGAAACCCTGCTATCTGTTTTATATTATATGCTTGTTGATGTCACTGTCTTTTATGCCAACTGTATAAAAATGAAACATTTGTGTAACCTTAACCATGTTGTCAATTGTAATACGATTTAAGATACTAGTAATATATATGGATGTGATGTCTACATTTTCCACTTTGGCCTCCGACATCAAGCGACTCACTGCTTTCGTCATTGAGCGCCACACATCTCTTCTCTTCTCTTCTATTCTCGCCCGAGAGCTCCATCTACATTCGTCATCATCACGAGCGCCGGCGACGACATCGCGTTCTTCACGGTTCTTCAACCACGTCAACGAAGTCACGTTTCCGCCATCAAGCCTCCGCACATTTCATCGCGTGAGCCCCTTCCTTCGTTCTCAACTCTCTTCATCTTCATTGGACTTTCGACTTCATTTCTACTATTGTCGTAAGCTCTATTTATGTACATCGCATTTATATTCACGTTCATTATCCTCATTGATCATTATGTAATCTCCGTGCAATATTCACATTTACCATTTATGCATTTTCATTCCGATTCTTCGGCTTGTGCTTGGCTACACTTTGCAAGTGTACGGCCAGCCTCATCAGTACCCAATAAACATAACGAAAAGGGAATACTTTCTTTCATGTATTTTATTGTCGGTGCAACCTTGTTTCCTCGTAGCTAAAATAAAAATAAGAGTTATGTTGTGTGACGAGTGAACACGCTTTCAAATATCCATTCACAATACCTCACACTCATATCTCTACAATACGTTTGATTTTTGATTTATGTCATATGTGTTGTTTCAATTTGAATTGCAATTGTGTTGTATCTGAAGCGATCCACGGCGAGACGGCCCGGTGGCCAAAGCCGCCCCGCCTATAGTACCGACTCAGAAAATGTTAAAGTATCACTTTAGTTTTTGAAGTGTAGAAAACGAAGATAAATCAAAGTCACTAAAACAAATTCTTGATTGGAGTTGAAGATTTATTAAAATAAACGTAGAATTAATAAATCACGAAGTTCATGTTTTGGGGCTGGGCAACCCAATTGAAGCAAATTAGCAACTCATGTCGGTATCGTAACAGAAAAGAGGTCCCGCTCCAGAGACGCAACTCGGTTTTTTATCCCCCCGAACTGACACGCCTCGTCCTCCCAAAAATTGAGGCGTGTCACACAGACGCTTTGCGTAATATCAATCCACCCATAATTAGTTTCCGTATTAAAAGGTCCTATATTTCTTGGCGAATTTACCCCCCCCCCCCCCGGATATAAGGCGCTCCGGATGATCCGCATCTCTATTCCTCACATACTTCTTTCACGCACCCACCTGTGTCTCTTACATTCTAATCTTTCAAACAAGAGATGCAAATCACCCGGAGACCCAACAACCCTGGAAATTAATTCAATGAATATAAAAAGGGATAAATGTTGCTATGTCCGTCCACACTAGCGAGCCCACATGCTTCTGGCTATTACACACCTGTAATCCTCACTTCCCCTCTCATACTATTTCGATAGTGTGAACAGACCCGGCAACAAGGAAAAACCCTTCCAATTGTAATACAAATCTATTTCCCAAATTTGCCTAATTAAATTTAAGTCAACTGTGGCGACACGCCCAGCGACACCTAATCCAATCGGCCAAGCCGAAAAAGTAGAGCCAAAATTAAGAGCGCAACGTCTCGGAACAGGTGTTAAAAATAGCATACAAGGAATTCACCATGTATGTTTGTAAAAATATTTCAAGCGAAATCTACCAGGAATTTGCCTTGTACATGTACGTCAATGAACTTTTGAGGAAAACGTAAACACGAGAATATCCATATCATTACATATCTATGTGAAATGGATCGCAATTCAGCCATTGGCTGCGATGATTTTTTAAATAAAAACCATTTCTATTCTATTTCTATTCTATTCTATTTCCTGTATAATGTATGGAAACTCCACATTTATATTTTCCTTTTACACGAGTAGAAAATGGTTAATAAGTTTTTGTGAGCTATTTTTAAAGACCGTTTGCTTTTGAATCTCTTAAAAGTCCACAAGAGATATGAGCAATTACCGTGAATGAAATTGGAGAAGAAATTTTCAGTGTATTCTGTTGGCAATAGGCAAGGCTGTATTAAAGATCAGTGGATTCCCAATGTCAGTGGCAGCCTTCTATTGTGTAGCCAATGATTTCATATTTGCTTGCTACTAAATTTGGCAGATGCAGATATTAGAAATAAACATTAATAATTATAATTTCCAAAGCTCTTTAGAAGCGCATAGGGTCGTTGTATAATGTGATATGCGCTATACAAGAACTGAATATTATTATGTTTAAAGAAAAAAAACAGCTTGTTTATATATAGTCAAACAGACCATACAATTATAAAATTGCTGAGCTGGATTTGCCGTCAGTTACATTGAATGGGTTGATTACTGGTACAGAGCCTAGCTTGTATGTTTTATTGTAATTTGTTCATAAAGATATAATATATAACATATACGGTAGATATTATGGAGACTACCTCACAAAGGTAACAATTATTTGAATATCTGCGATTCAACATTTTTCTCGCCTCTTACACATATTTTAGAGCCCTGTTTTTGTTCTGTATTTTACTTTTAGCATTCCATTGTCATTGCTCTAGTAATCGTGGCGAAGTGCTTTCTTGGTAGAAAAAAAACCTGCCTCATGCCCCCTGTATCCACCAGCGATTATAGTGGTTACATAAAATGTTATAGTGTAAATTGTATATCATGAATACTATGATACTATTGGCCAGACACTATTATGTCCACATTTACATTAAGCTTTCTGCGGGAGGATTCATTCAGAAATCAGGGAGGTTTCTATCGATTGCATACAACATAATAAAAATAATCTTTCAAAAAATCAGGGAGGCATTCAAATTTGTGTGGAGTGACGTATACAAAAAGTACAAATTTTCAGGGAACCTCCCCCAAAATCAGGAAGGGTTAATTAATTGGCATCTCTGCACTATTCCCCTTCCGGGTGTGATTGTATATGTATTTTTGCAATATTTAAATGAAATGTTATATGAAACAAACAACTTACATAATGGCTCCGACTCTTTTATTGGAGTTGTCTTGGTGAATTAAAGTATTCATTTACATGTGTGTGTATATATATGTGTGTGTGTGTGTGTGTGTGTGTGTGATTGTAGTGATGGTCCTCTAGTACAGCAGTGAAACCTGGGTATAAAGAGCTCTGATGTTACGAAGTAGTGTAATAAGGTGATTTTCCTGGTCCCAGCTCTTTATATTCTTTTGTTTTTTTTACCATGATATAACAAGATTTCTGATATAACAAGGTAATTTCTTTGGTCCTGAGGACCTCATTATATTACGAGTTTCCACTGTATTAGGATATATACCGGGGAACTCTCAATACCACTCGATCCCCGAATATTTTAGGGTGAATCAAGGAAGTATTCTTGCCAAATGAAAGCTTAACCCTGTCTTACCCAAACTAACATGCTTCCATGACCGACATGAATGTCTCGGAAGCACATGCCCTGTAGCTGCTCATGCACATAATAAACTAAGGAGGATTTTACCACAGCTGAAACCTGGCAGCAGATGGTTGGTTATCCTTTATAATTGCTTCTCTATACAAAGACATAAACATACTTCCTAATACCCATCATGTGCATGCACCGTTTGCAGGACCATGTATTCACAGAATGTTCATATTTGCCCATGCATGTTTTGTAATGGATTTCAGTGAATTACATTTTCCTGGGAAGGGGGCATATACATTTCTGTTACGATCGCAAGAGTTACTGGGAGGGGAAATGATTGGTCCAGAGACGACTGTTGTAACGGGATCGAGTGCCCTGTACCAGTATAGGTCCATGCCTGTACAGTACACTCTCGTAGTAAACCCGAGACCAATTTAATCCAGTGAAATACATATAATCCATATTCATTTAGCGACTTCCACTATATGGGTAGCGTCTCATACATTCGCACTATACATGTATACAATTTCATGTCACTGTACCGTGCGTCCCAAAAAAAACTATACACTTTTGAAATGGCTGCCGAATAAAAAATATATGATTCTGGGGGAAAAGTTTTATATGAATGGGAAGGGGGGGGGGGGGTAGTGAGCACATTTTTTTTTTCGATCCTCAAAAAAATTTCAATTTGCACCCCCCCCCCCCTTGAGCGTCAGGGGGGGGGGGGGCCCAACCCCCCAAAAAGGTAAAAATCACGTGATTTTACATGATTTTTTTCTCAAGGGGGGGGGGGGGCCGGGCCCCCCGGGCCCCCCGGGCCCCCCCCCCCCCTGGATCCGCCACTGCTGTACACTCTCGTAGTAAACCCGAGACCAATTTAATCCAGTGAAATACATATAATCCATATTCATTTAGCGACTTCCACTATATGGGTAGCGTCTCATACATTCGCACTATACATGTATACAATTTCATGTCACTGTACCGTGCGTCCCAAAAAAAACTATACACTTTTGAAATGACTGCCGAAAAAAAAAATATATGATTCTGGGGGAAAAGTTTTATATGAATGGGAAGCTCATAAACTCAACTTTCATATGACACCAAAAAGTCCGAAAATAATACACGCTTGGGTGAGCACTGCTCACTTTTGTAAAGGGTATGAAAATTAGGTTGCTCAGGAATTAGCCTTCCAATTTGTGAGGTAAATCCTTTGGAGCTTACAAAATTAAGGGTGATATAATTATGATACATTCATAATTTGATGAGTACTATAATGGAAAAATTACGGTGGGGGGGGGGGGGGGGTTGGATGAAATGGACATAATGAACAAATCAGAACTGATCTATGATAATTCATGCTAGTATCCTTCCGTTCGTGTGCTTGACTCATAATAATCGCGTGGTAATTAATTGAGTCCAAAAAGTTCGACTTGTTGTACATGTTATATAGGTAATGGCGAGCTTGCTACCTATTTTGATGGTGGGTGAACTTTCAAAAGTCAATGGGACATGAGGGTTCCAATGAAAGAGCTAGTGATAACGTACGTCGAGGTGGATGTGCTTTTCGTTTAAACAAAAAAAAATGAATTTTTAACGATTTTTTGGGGGGTAAAAGTCCATAGGCTAACGTACATGTTATTAGGCTGCTAGAATCTGCCGATAGGGGGCGTTCTCAAATGAGACTAAACGGAGCGCGCGCCTGGTGAAATGTCATTCACGCAATATGATACAAATCATATAACCTGGGCAAAAGCATGGGGAAATCATTTTTTTTTTTGGGGGGGGGGGGGATAAAAAGAGAAATTAATGGGATAAAAATATATAAAGCAGTTGAATAATAATGAAGCAATGACGTCACAAACTGATAACCAAATTGGCAATTTGTGAAGTGATTTTCTAAGTTCCAAAGTGTTTCATAGTAGTTTTGTTATAACTTCCTTATAGTTATCCGATTCTACTCAATGTGTTTGGGCTCTGTCGCTCTTGTTTTTCTGCATCTATATTAAAAGCAAATTATTTTTTAGAGTGGACTTAATACACCAGTTTACGGTTGTGTGCGCCATTTTAAACAAAGCCAATGACCTAGAGGTCATGGATTTATGCCTAAATTAAGATTGCGCACATTCAAATTATGATGACATCACTGCCTACGC